CCCCGAAAAACCTCGACTTTGTTGGTTTGGTTTATAGATTTAAAAACCCGACACCATTGGTTTGATTTGGTAATTGAAAAATCCGAACCAACCCGACTTACGTACACCCCTACTCTCCACAAAAGAAATATTCGATTACTTAATACCCTATGAGAAAAATCAAAGCTTTAAAAGTTAATTAGAAAACTACTTTTTTTAAATATAAAATTCTTTTTTTTCCTTGCCTATATTACTGTGTTCGAATAAGAAAGGTTTAATCTGCATAACCACAAAATAATTAAAGACTCACCTAGTCAGTCGAAGAAAGGCTAATATATATAAAAGTGAAATGTCTTCATTGGAAATTTGGAATATATAAAATCACGTTTTGATAGCTACAAACAAAATAAACAGTGAGAAATTACCTCAGCAAGAACGGAGATATAATGAAGAGCAATATGGTTGGATGGTGTAACTCTAATGTGGTGAATAGTAAGATGTAGCTTTTCCATTATTCCAGCAATTATTGTGAAAATACTCCGCATTTCTTTACTGCAATGGATTCCTATGAGTACATTCTTATCTAGAATTTGAACCTTGATATCATTCTGATCAGGTTTGGATTCATCAAAATTCTTAGCAAGAATAGAGTTGTCATCAGATGTAGTAGCAGCAAAAGAATATTGTTTTTGTACTGTGGAAGTTGATTCAATCAAGTTTCTACTCTTTGTCGTCCCAGCTTCCTCTAAAGCCCTAACACGTCCTTGAAGTTCTCCTATGTACTTGATTGAATCTTCAAGAATTGAAGCTTTGTCCAACTGATCAAGCAAATATTACAAAAGATACTTCAAGTGTTAGGTTAGCCATATATCCCATAAAATAAATAAAATAAAAGCCAGCCCAATGTACGAATCATTCCGCGTTCACATGATCGCACACTGAGGGGGTGTGATGTAGTCAGCCTACCCTAATGCAAGTATCAGTGACTGATTCTACGACTCGAACTCGTGACCAATATAGATCACGGAGAGAGCTTTACTTTTACTCCAATGCTCCCTTTCAACATATACCCATAGAGATGGTAGAATTTAAAATAAGCAGTAAACTATGTTACTTTTAGTTATAGTTGGTATTTCTTGTTTATTTTGTGTTCATTAGTATGCCATTGAAGAAAAGAACAGGCAAAGCAGTGAAAATAAAGGGAATAGCCCCACTCTCTCCAAATTTTTTTCTCAAAGATTATAAGCTTGGAATAACTTCCTCAATTTCAAAACATAGATCCAATGGAGTATTAATCTATTAAGAATATGAAAAGGGTAGCCTGATGCACAAAGTATCTCGCATGAAATTCATGTAGGGTCCAAGGAAAGGCTGCACCTCAAGTGATATGAGGTGGACAGCCTACCCTAATACAAGCATTAGTGACTGCTTCCACAGCTCGAATTTGTGACCTATATATCACATGAAGATAACTTTACGGTTGATTCAAGGCTCCCATAAATTTATCAAGAACATGAAATAACATAAATCATGAGTTCTAAGATATAAGTATTACTTTACCCTGTACGCATGGATTGGTTTAGTTTACAAATAGAACTGACTGCAGAATCATATATCTATTAAAACGTGACACTAGAGAACTACCCTAAACCTAGTTGTACTAGTAACCTATAAAGAGAGACTTTATTGAAATTAGAAATACCTTCTTGAGATCAGGGATACTTTTGGCCAAGACAGCAAAAAGTTGTGTAAATCTTTCTCGGCGTTTCCTTTCAGCCAAAAGATGATCTTGAGATTGCAAAGGACTTCTACAAATCCTCTTAGGCATTGATGTTGTTGGTGATGAAGACTGGCTTATGACCTTTTCAGATATCATATCATAATCTAATTCATCCCCTAGAAAATTAGAGTCTGGATTTCCAAATGAAATAATGTTAGGCGAAGAAGAAGAAGAATTAGTAGAAGTAGAGGAATTAGGAGAAGAAGAAAAAGCAATTTTCGGAATTTCCATTAATGAAGAACTGCTGGGATTTTGATTAGGGTAAGATGTGAACATTTCAGAGAGTAAATTCTTAAATTCAAAAGGTTCTTCTCCACCAGCTGTATTTTCAAGGTTATTGAAGCTTGCATTTTCCATGGCTAAATTTACAGAAGTAGAAGAGAAAAAGAGAAATATTGTCAAGAGAAAACGAACGCTAGCTTTGAATTTTTTTCAGCTGTACATTTCCAATTCAAAATGGATAAATTGTTTTCTTATATACTATATATAGAAACTGACCCTAACGTGTGAACAGTCTTTTTCTTATGGATGGCGTGTCGTCCTTATTAGAAGTTGAAGGAAATAATTCCTTGCTTTACATGCTGATTGAAAAAGATATATAGTTGAGGATGAAAGGCGAGGAAATATTTTTATGGGAAAAGGCCCAAATATACTCCTTTACTTTCGAATTTTGTTTACATTTAACCTCCGTTATACTATCCAGCCAAATTTACCCGCATCAACAGTAAACATTTAAAAATTACCCTTTGATGTATTAAGTAATCCAAAATCTCTCAAATTACTTTTATTTAAATCACTTATTGTTCTTCTTGTTCCACTATTTTCAGAAATTACTATTGATGTGAATGCTAAAGTTACTAGACTATATAAATTATTCATAAATATTTTTAATTACCAATGCACCCACTTCTCTTCTTGTAATGATGGGTTTGGAATTGGTTTAATTTTTTTTTTCAACCATATACACACGGTAGAATTCAGTGGGTCTATTTATTGTGAATTATATGCAGCCGATCACCATGTATGTACATGTATTATATTTAAATATATTTTATCATTGTCTGGTTAGTATAGAGTTCGATCAACTAACTTAAGAGTGCACAATGTGTAGGCATTTGATTAAAGTAAAGTTGAATTCGACAATGTAAAGTCTCCGAGGAACTTCAACTTCAATCACTAATACTTGTAAATTCTCCATACATTTGGTGCAACGAATTCATTAAAATTGGGATGTTGTAAATACTTTTAGAATTTAGACAAGCTACCTAATTTAGATTTTTCAAATAACTATATTTTGTTTATTAACTGTTGTATTATTTAATATTTTTTCTCTTATTTTTTTCTCCAATTCAGAGAGCATGTAAATGCCAATTATTTTGATATTAGTGGACCAAGAAGAAGAATCAGTAACTTAATTAAAATGATTTGGGAGATTCCGGGTCACCTGACGGACTGAGGGATAATTTTTAAAAGTTTGCTGATTGTAGGGATAAATTTGGCCCGATAGTATAACGATAGGGGTAAATTTGGCTGGATAATATAACGGAGGTTAAATATAGACAATATCTGAAAGTAGAGGGGTATATTTGGCCTGTTTCCCTATTTTTATTATTGGTTTGTTATAAATTATATACAAGGATATTTTTCATAATGCAAATGGTTTAGCAACAGTAGTGTACCTATCTTGGTTTGAAATATATAATTTGGATTAAAAGATAAAATTAGCCTTTGTCTTTTCTCAGACCCATCATTATCAGTTCAACACCGTGCATATCTCATTTTCAATACAAAGAATCAAATATTTGATGAAAAACAATAATCTCTGTATTATTATTAATTTGATACTACTAATCTCCATTTAACAATCCTTGCATAAGTGTAAAATGAAAATGATGGAACTAAAAACGTTTTAAATCTAAAAAAAGTGGCGTTCCTTTTTAAACAAATTTAAAAAAAAAAAAAGAATTAAGATAGATAAATTGACACTAATGGAGTATTATCATCTGCACACTGACCGTGTAAAAAATATATTCCATCTGTTTCAAACAGATTGTTACTATTTCCTTATTAGTCTATTTAAAAAAGATTGGTACCTTTCAATATTTTTTTAATAATAAGTATTTATAACCACACAAATGCTATGGTAGGATTCAGTCCACAAGTTTCAAAAGTTTTACAACAACACAAATGTTATGACTTATTTAAGACCGTATACCTCAAAAGTCTTCCCTTATTTATTAAAGTTTGTATCAAGTTAAACTAAGACAATCTTTTTGAAGCGGAGGGAGTATACATTATACTACTAGATCAATCATTTAATTAGATATAATTATCTACAATAAGTGAAATTAGTAAATTGAAGAATAATATAAGACTATATTTCTTAAGCTGCCTCAAAGTTGGCTCCCTATTTTATTTTATTTTTGTTCCTTTTGTTTTCTCTCTTAATCTTTCACAAAAATTGTTAATAGCAGTTATCTTCAATTTTAAAAACAGATTCAGTTGGTCTATCAAAATAGATTGATGATGCTTAGAGATATACAGTATCTTGATGTATTTTTTCTCGGATCTCTTCCAAGATTTTCCATTTTTTGAGATTTATTGGGTTTGTTTAATCTGTTTTTTTATTATCTGAATATGGTTGTGATGATTTCCACAGGTTCCATAAGTCATATATAATTAATTAATTAGTTGGCATCATTGTGAATATATATTCATTTCTCGGATTATCGTTTCATTTCAGTATGGGATATCCTTAGATTATCCTTAATTTTAAGAGTACCAACTCCTTTTGACTTGAAAATTTGATGTCTTTGTGACTAAAAGTAAAGATCTACCCTTAAGGATTATTTGTTGATATTAAGAACTAAACAACTTGAAGGAGATTATATGGTCAAAATTTAATTTGCCACATTGTCCAAGTTGTATGCTCTAAGGTAGGGTACAAATGAAACCGACAAACCGTACCAACTCGATAATTTGAGTCAAACCGAGAAAAAAAACCCGATTATGGTTTGGTTTGATTTGGTTTGGTATTGGAAAAAAAAACTCGACCATATTTGGTTTGATTTGGTTTTAATTAAAAAGAGTCAAACCGAAACCAAACCAACCCGACATTATATGTATATAAGTTTTAAATATATTTAATACATAAAAATATTTATGGTAGTGTAGTTGATAAATATTTCTTAAGTTTTTTTATAGTTTTATCTTTTAACGTATTATTTCAAGCTTGTGCTTATAACTTTTGGATGCTCCAATAAGTTTTATAATCCATAAATGTATAACTCAAATAAATCCTAAATCAAAATCAAATCAATACTAATGCTAATAAAAGACATTCAATTCAATCGTACTATGAATGAAAATAGTGTTGGATATCTATTTTTTAGTTTTTTCATGATTTAGATAAAATGTATAACTTATTTTTCTTTTAGTGGTTAGTCATGCAAATAATAGTACTTATTAGTCATAATTTTAAATTATATTTGTTTTCATTATGGCTTATTAATAATATTTATTTTATGCGATTTTATTATCTTTATTGTTGAATATTTTAGTACAATGTCATGACTCATCTCATATTTCTGTTATTTTATTGAAAAATACCTTATATAGTTCTGTCTTACGAGGATTAAAGAAATATTTGCATCACAAATTTTACATTTTGTGCTATGAAGACTTTATAGGAAAAAAATTCGAAAAAACCCGAAAACCCAAAAAAAACGAGATTAAAAAACCCGACTTTTATTGGTTTGGTTTGGTATTTAGATTTAATAACCCGATACAATTGGTTTGGTTTGGTAATTAGAAAATCCGAACCAACCCGACCCATGTACACCCCTACCCTTAGGTTTATTATATATCCACGTCTGAAAAAGAAAGAAAAAAAAAACTTTGTAGGAAATGTAAAGGAAGTATTAGAGGATGCAAAAAAGTATTCTATCTTTTGTTTTCCCTCTTATAATTGTTTTCGCAAATTGTTAACAATTCTATTTATCAGCATTAATAATCTTCAATTTTGAAAAACACATTTAGTTAAGCTTACAAAATTGCATAGATGACGTTTATCATATGTATAATATCTGGATGTAGATTACTTGTCAGCTTCTTCCAAGATTTCGCATCGTTTGAGATTTAATCTAGTGGTTATTTAAATTTCTGATTCTTAAGCTGAATATGGTTGTGATGATCTTTCTCAAGATCTATAATTCATATCTTAATGTCCTGGTGTTATTGTTATATCATCGTTAATATTAACGTTTCATTACAATAAGGCTTGTCTTTTATTTATACAAGTGTATGTACCAACTCCTTTTGACTATAAAATTTTAGTATCTTTGGAGTCTTTGGACAAAGAGAGAGAGAGAGAGGGATTATTTGCTGATATAATTAAGACCTAAACAACTTGAAGCAGATGATATGCCTCTAATTTTAAATTGATGTTCTCCCAACTAGCAGATATATATAAAAAGATCTTTAGAAAATAGAGGATATATAAAACAGTTAGATGTATAATATTTTAGAAAATTGTAAAGGACATGAACAAAATTTGCAGTCTTCTATTTGGGGTATCTCTTTGCAGTTTAATCGAACTCACGCTCAGAGGTGAGCCTAGGATTTGAAGGTCGGTTCACCTTAACTTTAATATAAATTTGTGAATTTAAAGGCCGCGGGTGCACCCTACCTTTTAATGTAAATTTTGTCACTGGCGACTGAGACCGTATAAAATTCCTTCAGTAAATGCTTTACGCAATATACTTCCAGCTCAAATTTTGTATTCCTATGGGAGAAAATTTTCTAACGATACCCTGGAATGTCAAGTTGTTGAATTATGCACCCATTCCAATTTCAAATTGATTATTGTTATTATCATTAACATAACCAGGAGCGTATGTAATGTCATAGTACCGAATTCATCTGAAACCAGTACTTTTCGCGTAGAATATAAATTTAGTGTAAAGATTTACAAAAATTACAATACATAGTGAGTATGAACCCATAACTTTAAAAATATAATAGGTTCAATACCAAAAACCTTAAATGTCGAACCCATAAAGTTTAAATCGTGCCACTTCTGAATAAAAACGTAGAAATGTGCTTAGTAGGAACATTCCAATCGAAACTGGGCAGTTATTAAAGACAGCACTTTGTCAGCGCCATTGTACAACAACAACAACAAAAAATCAACCATGTGGGGTCTGGGGAGGGTAAAGTGTACGCAAGCCTTACCCCTACCTTATGACGGTAGAGATGTTATTTTCGAAAGACCCTCGGCTCAAGAGAAGTGAAAATAAAGCAATAAACAGACAATAGCAACAAGGTAATTAGACATGGGCGCCAATGGAGATACGTGC